CCCAAACCAAGACATTAGTCCTAGCAAAAAAGTGATTGGGGTCCCTCAAGCCGGTGATGGGCAGAGATCCTCTGCACCTCCACGGCCTAAAGTCCATCAGAGGTGGGGAGGACTGCTGGTGGAAAATTGAGTTCCAATCTAGCATTGCTCTGATTCAAGTGCAATCGATTGAGTTTGAATCAAATCAAAATGGATTGGATCAAATAAATTCTAACTAAATCCAATCCAGACCAATACAACTAATGACTGCCGAAAGTATAGCCCAAAACTACACAAAAACCCAAACTACGAACGCGAGCACGGGAAAAAACTCAACACTTTCGGATCACGGGTGTTGATGCAGGGGTCCCGCCGACAATGATGGGCTGGCCATAACTATGGCAGTTGCCATGGTCCCCGTGATGCGCGGGTTAGAGGATGAGCGCGTCGTTGTTCAGTTCCCTCACCTTTACACAGGATGAATGGGAGAATACCCTCGAATATGTGTGTGTGGGGGGGGGGAGACCCTACCCACCTAGGCTGCCTTCGTCGTAGCCGTTTGGGTTCGCACCTCTAGGGTCGTCGAACCCAAGATGACTAGGTCCAACATCGGGAGCGAATCCAGAGCACGAATTGCGTGTGGGGCAATGGGCGGTGCATGCAGCATGGTGCCATGAGGTTCCCACCAGAAGAGGCGAGGCCGCCAACCCACCTGTCCTGGATGGTGTTGCTCTCGGCGACGATGGGTGGTGGGGTCCGCGTGCCCGTGGCGCTGACATCGGAGACATCAGAGGGGTGGTGTGGGAGAGAGAGCGAGTCTGGTGTGAATGTGCATGAGAGGTGACTGGTGAGAGGGGAGGACTTATGAGACATCTCTGTGTCTCCCGCGCTTCCCAAGCCGTCCAGGAAACGGGCACGTGTGGCTCGAGCTAGCAGGCCCAAAGGTTCTTTAAGTTTCGTGTGGGCCGAGAATCTGATTCAAGACAGGAAACCAAATAGGCCATTTTCATCCCGTGCGGGCCTGGTAGACCTGTATGTGGAAAAACAAATGCTCCGTTAGGAGGTAGTTAGCTTTCTTTCCTACTTTATAAAACTAACAAAAGTTTATTTTTCGGAAAATATTCATGAAGTTCGGGGTCAAAAAAAATTATCTGAGAAATCAAACATGCATAGATTCAAAATGCATCGGCGACTAACTAAGAGCATCTTCAATAGATCATGTAGTTGTATAAATAACTGAATTTTACATCACCAAGGTCCAAAAACCAAGCTCCAACGGATGATGTAGATGCAATTTTACTACACATGATTTGCTCCAGATCTCACAAAGGGAACTTGGTGATGCAAATTTGCATCACCAGCTGTGGCCCGAGCAAACTTGCAGCCGTCCGTACAAATGCCCAACAACCTCGCTTAAAGTTCATGTCGCCCTCCTGCCTACCTGCCTTCCGTCGCCTACCATTAGACCCGATGGCCAGCTCCCCCGACCACGGGGCTGCAACTGCCACTCCGCTATACCTTGCAACAGCCGCCTCCGTGTCTCCCGCCGTTCCCGACCCTACCATCGCTGCCATGCCTACCCCATATCGGCGCGGCGGCGGATGTGCAGCCCACGTCCCAGGGCCACCACCAGACTGGAAGCACTAGCGAGTAAGAAGCCTATCACGGCCAAACTACATTGTGGCAGCTTGAAGAAGCCACCACACAACAGAAGAAGAGAAAGGCGGTCATGGCAACCGTTGTTGTTTCGATGTCATCGATGCCCGCGACTGTTGTTGCGGACGAAGGCGTGCCTACTCCCCCGCCATCACATGCCCCGCCTCCGGCTATGTAGGAAGAGTTGTCGACTCTCGTGGCCATCGTCTCCAACATGCTCGATGAAATGTCCAAAATGTAAAAAAAATCTCATACCATGGATGGATCACAAGCCAATGTTCATAATGTGCCAAGTAACAACGGCGAGAATGAAGGCGATGATGATCTTCAAGCCAATGTTGACAACGTTCCAAGTGCCAATGGAGAAGATGCTAGTTGAGAGGCCATGTTTATGTTTATGTTTAGGTTTATGTGCACATCTTATTCGTTGGATCATGAACTTTGTTTGCCAACATACACTATGAGACAATAAATTTGCCATGTTGATGTTGAATTTGACATATTGATCATTATGTTTGTGATGATCTTGCAAAATTTTGGATGATTCTGATTCAAAGATGTGCTGCTGTACTGATGCTGTTGCGCAGCTTTCCTGCGGCTGGCTATTTTTTACATGATCTATTGGGGTGGCTGCCCTCTTGTACATCATCTGTTTGAGTTTGACGTCTTTGGTGATGTAAACATGCACATTTTGGTGATTTATATTTTACTCCAACCACTTTTTTGGTGATGTAAAATGCATCATCTATTGAAAATGCTCTTAACCACTAGCTAGCTATTTCGGTGGACTCACCTCATCATGGAGTCAATGCCCTGCCGTAGTGGAGTAACCTGTCAAATTAGGAGCGGTCAGACCAATGTAAATGCAAAACTATGCCTTTGTAATATCATCTATGGTCCTTTTGGCTTAATTATGTATGACCAAGCAATTAATTTTTGATTGTGCACTATCATCTGCCGTCCTTCCAAGGGACCCAACATTAATCTCTGTCTAATATTTTTTTTGCGAAATCTCTGTCTAATCTGATAATTAGATTATGCCAACGGCAATGTCAAGGTCTCTTGTGAGTACTCGTCGCTGATTCATTCAGCTGCAAGATTGGGACTTTGTGATATCAGGTACCGTTCTTTTGTCTTTTGGATGGTCGATCGGCACCAAGCATTCAAAAGACACTACGGCGATTAATTTTGATTTGTTGTATCATCCGCCGTTCTTTTGAGGATCCAACATTAATCCACGTCAAACCTGAGCATTAGATTATGCAAATGTCAATGCTCATATCCTGTCAGGTGTCCCCAACGATATCACGTGACGATCTATTAACAGTATTATTCTACAATTTGTAAATACTATTGTTCATGTAAACTACCAGGGTGACCACTCATTTGCACTCCTAGATATGATACATACTAGTATATTATTATTACGTATGTTTGCACCATAACAAACTGTTATTATCGCTATATACTTCATAAATCAATCAAACCGGGGAATATCTATGTCTCTAGGAAAGTTGATTAGACTATAATATTGGAAATACGATCTTTTGCTGTGTTATCACCAGCCAAGCAAAACCATAGACTTTCATTGACTATAATATTTTTTCTATTAAGCTGGTCAAGCCATACTTTTTTTTTATCAAAAGAAGGATAAAACCCCCGGCCTCTGCATCTGGACGATGCATGCAGCCATTTTATTAATTATTCACAAAAACCATACAAAGTAATACATCAGTCAGCCTGAAGCCACCATCTAGGTAACACCTGTTGCTACCCCTATTTTCTTGATGAAGCTGTGCCGAATATCTGGGACAAATACCAAACGGACATCGCACTAAACCCTAACATCTATAGCCGGATGCCCCTGCCCAGCCACACACCGGGACTGGGTCCATACTGGCTCGGCGCACTCTCATAGGCTGCTGCCGCCATCTTCCACCGGTCCATCTTCAGAGCAGGAGCTGACGCATCGACTTTGCCTGGCCTGCCATCGACGCCAACACGGCGCCAGACAGCTCCACCATCCTGCACATATCCATCCACACGCGCCCGTCGCCAAACTTCCGCAGCGCCATGCCACCGGGATCCGTCGTCGGCCTTGCAGTGAATGCGACGCCACTCCTCCACTTGTCTCGTCCAACCAGCATTTGCTCCAAAATGATGCCCCATGAGGGATAACGGCATCGAAGGTGCCATCATCGTCCGATCAGGTAGATCCAGATCTAGGGTCCCCCCAGAGCCACACGAGTGGGGTGCCATGCCCAGCAACAATGATGCCTCGAGAAGGGAACGGCGTCATGGCCGCCGCCATCGTCCGCCGTGACCGAAGTCGCGCGATTTTCACCGGAAGTCGCGACTCCCCGAACTCGCAGCTGGGTGGAACGAAACGGAGCCTCGCCCTGGAGACGAGGGCCGCTGTTGGCATGCCGGAAGGGAGGCTCTAGCCGCCCCTCACCGGTCCTCCTCGCGTCACCGGCCGGCCAATGCCAGATCCACAGGACGCCAGATCCACAGCCATCAAAGCCACCCATGAGCACATAGCCGCCACACCGCCGGCCATGGAGGCTCCAATCGCCGCCATGCATCAGGGTCGCCGCCCTGACTGCCACCTGTGTCGTCTACAAGCCCATGGATCCAGATCGGGCCAGATCCGGATCCAGATCGGCTGCGGTGCAGACACACCCCTCTCCACCGGGAGGTACTCCAGGCCGCCGCCCATCCGCAGGGCCCTGAGCGCCGGCGTCCTCAACGCGCCCCACGCCGGCGAGCCGCCCAGGCGCAAGGATGCTGCCCCACCGCAGCACCCCGAGCGAGGAGGAAAAAGGCCCCGCCGCCGCTGACGCGAGCACGGTGTTGCCCGGCCACGTCCTCTGGCCGCTGCGAGGGGGGGGGGGGGAGAACTGCCGACGGGGACGATGGGAGAGCCCTCCCTGTCGCCTACGGGTGCGACGACGGAGGGGTACGTGGGTATCCCAATCTAAACGATCAGACGTAAACGCAGGAATGTTTGACTGTCAAGCAATACTATATGGTATATCTTTTCACCATTGCTTTCTTAAAACTATTCCAATAAGAATTAAATCTAAACATCAACGGTTTCGTGCCCAACCATTTGTAGCAGACACTGAGAACATACTAGTATCAACAAGTTGCCGGTGTGGTTTGTGACGCCTGTGGGTTCAGCACCTTTCTCCTGTGTTTTATATATTTCCCACGTGTACTGACCCATCAAAGGCAGTTGCGCAGCAAGACGCATCGTAAATAGGGCTGTGTTATATAAAGACCTAAAACAGCTGCCAGAGAACAATCATAAGTTAAGCACCCAGAACAATCAACAAAACTGAGGAAGGAGAGAACTAATATTCATGGCGGCTAACGTAGTGCAAGCCCTGGCCGCTGTCCTCACACTGCTGGTGATCACAAGAGCGCTATGGTATCTGCTTTGGAGGCCATACGCTGTGGCCAGGTGGTTCGAGCAGCAGGGCATCAGAGGTCCGCCTTACAAATTCCTGGTTGGGTCCCTGCCCGACTGCCAAAGGATGCTCGTTGCCGGGAGAGTCAAGGATCTGGACACGAGCTCCCACGACTGCATCACCACCGTGCAACCCTTCTTCCGGAAATGGGCCTCACTGTATGGTAATTACTTGAATGTCTCTACTCTCTACCCGATAAACCACAATGGACTATAACTGTGTGTATTATATATAATACGGAGTAACATGCATGTCCCTATCAGGAAAAACATTCCTGTACTGGTTGGGACCGACACCAGCACTGTGTACTACAGACATAGAAATAGTGAAGAAAGTGTTAAGCGACAGGACAGACATGTTCCAAAAAGATTACTTGAATCCCAGTTTGGAAGCAATTCTAGGGAACGGGGTAATATTTGCAAACGGATACGACTGGAAGCGGCGCCGCAAATTCATCCACCCGGCTTTCAGCCAAGAGAAGATCAAGGTTACTTAGTTAGCAATCTCTTCTTTCTTTTCTTTTTTAACATGCTTGAAGGATGTGGGATTTTCTTGAAATCTCAACGGAATAATTACGTTTGAATGTTTGTGTTCACAGTCCATGTCAGCAATAACGTTGGAGTGCACACAGCAGATGATGGAACAGTGGCACACTCAAATGCAGGAGAGCAACATGCAGCAAGCCGAGATCGACATGAGGTACGACTCCGATGACATAGCAATGCGTGTCATAGCACGAGTGATGCTGGGCAAGAACTACAGGGAGGCCTGGGAAGTGTTCATGGCAGGAAGGGAGCAACTGAAGCTCGCCGCGTATGCATTTGCGGATCCTCCAGTACCTGGATTCAGGTAAGCCGGAAGAGTAGCTAGTTTTCCTTTTATGGAAAGACTAGATAGGAGACCCTAGAGTATAAATGTGAGCACAATGATTTGAACTATGCTTAGTGGAGTCGTGCCCTGTACACTCCACCGGCCCAACCGGTGGTTCTCAAAGAATGCGATCAATCCAAGGATAACGTGAAATTAACTTTTATTACTCTAGGTACCTGCCGACACGTCGCAACCGTCGGACCTGGCAACTCGACAAGCTTGTGAGAAGCAAGATTACAGAGATCATAAAGGCGCGGCTTGCTAGCAGTGTCTATGGAGACGACCTGCTCGGGCAGATGTTGTGGCTGCAGAGGTCGGGTGCTGGCGCCAACGCCGAGACCCTGAGCACGGAGGAGATGGTCGGCGAGTGCAGGACCTTCTTCATGGCTGGGTACGAAACCAGCGCCAACCTCATTACCTGGGCCATGTTCCTGCTCGCCAGCCACCCACGGTGGCAGGAGATGGTCAGGGACGAGGTCGTCCAGGAGTTTCCTGCTCACAAGCCACCCTTAGGTGACGGCCTCGGCAAATTGAAGCTGGTATGCTACGCATATAGTATAGATGGACATTAATCCTCATCCATACAGCTTTGATATATCCCAGGTCCGTAGAACAATTAATGAATGCCGTGGTAACTTGCAGCTCAACATGTTACTCTGGGAGACATTGAGGCTCTATGGCCCCCTATCATTCCTGCAGAGGAAGACAGCCTCAGACACAATCCTCACACATGTGAAGGTGCCGAAAGGAACGATGATAACGATACCTCTGGTGATGTTGCACCGGGACAAAGAGGTCTGGGGACCCGACGCCGACGAGTTTAACCCAATGAGGTTCCAGAATGGCTTCGCGAGAGCCGCCAAGCATTCACATGCACTGCTGGCCTTCTCGTATGGGCCTAGGGTCTGTGTCGGGCAGAACTTTGCCATGGTGGAGGTGCAGATCGTCATAGCGACGATGCTCAAAAGTTTCTCCTTCTCCCTGTCCCCCACTTATGTGCACAAGCCGAGCAATTTCGTCACATTGACGCCCAAGTACGGGCTCCCTCTCATCGTGAGGAACCTGCAGCTGACTAGGTGATTGTCTTGTGACATGACATACCGGAGCCATGACCCTATAGTTAGATGAGACTTGGGTGTACAAATGTACATCCGTTATTTCGTCAAAAACTATCTATGCTTGGGTATAATTCACATACGGAACAATATACATGAAATCGATTAGAAGAACTTGAGAAAAACTGTGTTTTTATCGCACTGTGTAATCTATTGTTTAGATACCGTTATCGCAACTGACGGGACCTGTATATTGTGATGTGTCTTGTACTACACCATACTGTACTAAATAAACTAGGCCACTTTCGCATGTATTTGTGACGCATGGTTTTCTCACCATTGTTATTCCTCCAAGCTACAAATATAAATAGACTAGGATGATGTCGTATGTTATCGATTATTCATTGTTGTCTATCTTTTCATCAACAACAAAAGAATTTAAACATATATGAGTATCTTCTAATTCTATCTGGTGAACCATAATATGTTCGCAATAGAACCGAACGGCCTGAATGATGTCTGATATAAATCGCGCAGTTACACCCGCAAGCCCAAGAACCACCTGACCTAGGGTAATGTTTGTGACAAATGTTACATTGTTGTTTATTTCTCTATCATGCTGAAATATACTTCTCTACAACATCTGCCTTCGAAATCCAGAACTTCATGCTAGACTTTTGGCAGACCCTGAATATTTTTTGCTGAACTGCACCCACTCCTAGGGATTCAACAAGGTGCTACGCAATGAAGATACATACAATAAGGACTGCCTAATGACAACAAAGGATACAACTTCTATGCTTTCTAATGAGAAGTTGGGCAAGAACTGGTGGCTGTTTTTGTAAGGTGTCTGCCTTTGACCCGGCGGACCCATAGCTGAAGAAGGGTTTTATGATGTTTAATCTAGTACAAACTAACATAGGTATACTGCTAACTTTATTTGTGTAACTAACGTGGTAATATGCACCCCACAAACTTAATAACCTACTTACAAACAAAGTGGTAACTTTGGTCCGGGTAACTTATGTGTAAATACGTGGTAATATACACACGGTAGACCTCATAGCTGATGCACAAAAACTATGATAACTTTTGACCATGTCAAACGTAGTTGCTGAAAACATACCCACGGCAACTTTTGTGAAAATAGTATGGTAATATACGTACCGTAGAGCTGATAACCCATGTAGAAACACTGGTACATTTTGACAGGGGAAAGAAATTGTTCAAAAACATGCTCCTGATAACTACTATGTAAACAACATGGTAATATACACACCTTAGACCTGATCACCTATGTACAAACACTGTGGTAAATTTTTGATCCGTGGAAAAAGTTGCTAAAAACATACCCTGATAAATTTTGTGTAAATAGCATGATAATATCCGCAGTGTGGACCTGAGAAAGTATGTATAATTACCGTAGTAAATTTTGTTCTATGTAGATATCATGGTAATAGATGCACTGCATACCTGATAACTTACATTCGCATACCGTAGTACGATTGGCCAGGGATTTTTCTTGACAAACGCATCCGCCGATAAATTATGTGTTAATGGCATGATAATATATGGACCATAGACCTAATAACATAAGTACAAGCACCGAGATAAGTTTCGACCCGGGAAGAAAGGTGAAGAAAACTTACCTCGATAGCTTCTATGGAAAAATGATGGTAATTTACATCCAACAAGCATGATAATTTACATAGCTCATGTGTGGTAACTTTTGACCTAAAAACATCAAAACACATCAACATGATATCTAATTTCGGAGAATTGATCGCAATATATTTAATGGTGAAACTGTATCTTGAATCATACCAACAGAATGAGCTACAAAAACAGATTTTGAAATGGATCATCATGGCAGATTGTAGTAACTTTGATTCAGAGAAAACAAGTTGTTGATACTTAGCCCCGATAATTTCTCTGTAGATAACATGGTAATTTACACATTGCATGGCTGTTAAACTTACTGACAAAACACTACGGTAACTTTGACTCCTGGAAAAAAGTTGATTAAACAAACCCTTATAATTTATGTGCATATAGCTTGGTAATTTACACATGGTAGATCGCGATAACATGTTTACAAAAGCATGGTAACTTTTGACCAGGTGGTAAACCTGATGTTAAACATACTAAGTCATTTATGCGTTAATAGCATGGTAATTTACCTATCACAGGCCTAATAAATTACCTACAAAGACCTTCGTAACTGTTTATGTTGAGAACAATGTATTTAAAACATATCTAGTAGCTTCTGCGTAAATATTATCGATCTTTTGTTGGAAAAAACTCATAAAATTACCTTTCTTTGTACTAGTGGTAAAAAGGGTTTAGAATCATTGATTGGATCCAAAAGAACAACAACAATACCTTTATTTGTTGTATATTGTACTTAGTACATGCATCTGTCTACCGTGAGATTAGGGTTTGAATCCCCAGAATTTTATTTTCTCTCGCATTGGTTTTCGGGCAAATCTCTGTTAGAGTCGAACAAAAAAGTGGGTCATCGAAGGAATAATAGCAACAAGGGGATCGTTTGAATCAGTCGCTAAAAATGGAACATTCGCTAGGTATCAAGGTCCACCTAATTATTGTTGTCCCTTCTTACACAATCTCATTGCTTCTGTATGTAGTTTTATTATTTTATTTCTTTTGTGTCATGCTTTGAGATATTTTCTTGTATGGTCCCCTTCTAATATCGGTTATAATTTGATCACTTCTGATATGGCTAAACCTGAGCGTAAAACAAACTCTAATCTAACCAATATTGTCGCACGGTGATCTGTGCGTGATTTATTTTCACTTATTTGGTTCTCCCTATTGAAAGTAACATATGTCTTCAAACTTTGCAAGCTAACAAAATATTAGAACTAAAATGTGAACAAAAAACAAGTGAATTTCTTATTCAGCATAAATATATAGTTAGGATTTATTACTATGAAATATTATTTTATGTAGTTACGATGCGCCAAAAAAATAGAAATTTTTTTCCGCACATTGTAGTTATAGTATTTTGGTGACATGCAAAGTGTCAAGTCTATGTGTTGTTTCAAGTCATATTGTAAAGTTAGTTGAAGGGGTACATATTACACACAGGTTTATATAGAAGGGACATTTACATTTGTGCCCTTAATTTGCGCCCACTCTCAGATTTGTCCCTAATTTCGAAGTCTGCTCAAATTTACCTCTCCGCCGTTAGATGCCCTTAAAGAAATGCCCTTCTGCGCTGTTACCGTCCATTCAAAGATGGGCAAAGGGCTTTGACCATCCTGAAAAAAATATAAAAAAATATAAAAAATCTGAAATTTTGTGAGATCAAAGATACTAGGGTTCGCAAGACCCGTGCAAACTTTTGTGCTGTTTGGACATTCCAGGAGCTCGTGGCAAACAAAAAACAGTAGATATGTACACTTGTGAACAGTAAATTCTTAAAACTTGCAAGAAAATTCAAAAAAATATGAAATTTTTTGGCATCAAAGAGGCTTGGGTCTGCAAGGTGCGTGCAATTTTTTGTTGTGTTTGGACACAGTAGGAGCTCGTGGAGAAAAAAAAAATTGGCTCAGGAAAAAACTTTGGAAAAAATAACTATTTTGTTTTTTTTGCTAGAGCTCCTCGCATGTCATTTGATCACAAAAACTTGCAAGCACCTTGTGCACCCAAGCCTCTTCGATGCCAAAAAATTTCATATTTTTATAATTTTCTTGCTATTTTATTTCAAATTTACTGTTCACAAGAGTACATATTAACTGCTTCATATTACACCCAGGTTTAGCCACATCGGAAATGACCAAATTATTTTCCCCTGCCAACTGCTTCATATTACACCCAGGTTTATTTTGAAAGACCACAAGTTCTGGCCGTCCCTTCCTGCCGTGTAGGAGGCGCGAAGGCGGTGAGGTCTCGTTGCAGCTGCTGGTGGCTTGTCCTGCCTGCTGGCCACTTTCCCTTGCGATGGTTCTCCTCTTGCAGTCCTGGCCGCCGGTCCGTAAGACCAAGCTGTCGAGGATGGTGTGGTGGAACCTTGGAGATGCTATCACTGCCGTCGTAATGTGAGCCAACTCCCGGGAGCTCGATGGAGACAGCTGCTCTCACTTCCTGTTTTTGGACACCGGCAGAACTGACCGCGGCACAAGAACCAGTGTTGCTAATCATAATTAATACTCACAAGAAATATGAAGCAGTTAGCAGTTATCTAGGTCATCAACATCAGTGCAGAATTTCAGATTGATCAATGACAATGAGCTATTCCCTCCGTCTAGGTTGTGCACCATGACCAAGGAGGAGGGGAAAATGAGAGACTTTAATGTTTATTTGCTAATTAATAGTATTGCATGCAATGAACTAACCACTGCATGTTATGTTTGGTAGCCTCAAGTCATTAAAAGCATGCACACTCCTCATCTCTTATTGGTTGATATGGCAAGAAATAAGAAACGAGGTAAAAATTAATGCATCGCGCCTTAGTGTTTTGAGATTATTTGGTTTCGTAAGATGACTTACACACCTAGACGGACGGAGTACGTGCCTAGTACATGCCAATAACCCTGGCCATCGATCTACCCAATTGAAAGGAATGGAAATGATTAAGCAACTGCATGTTGCTGCCTTTGTCAGACTGCTATAATGGAGTCCCCAAAAGGACGGCAGATGATACTACACATCATAATTATTCGCCATGATATTTGTTCGTTGCTCAGTAACACGGCAACGGGTGGTGATTATGATCGCCTGCCTTCTCTCTTTGGACCACTCTACTCTTTAATTCTTGTGATGAATTTCTCATGACACGGCCGCAGCAACGCTGCGTACCCCCATCGGTCTGCCCAATTTATTAATTCCACTTATTATCAGACAGATGTGTAGCCTCTCAATTTTCGCGAGCTTTTTGGAGAACTTGTAGTCTCAGAATCAATCAAAAAAGGATGGATCTACTTTATACTCCCTTCATTTTTATTTACTCTGCATATTAGAGTTCACTGAAGTCAAACTTACTAAAATTTGACCAAGTTTATA